GTAAACAAAACGTCCCGCCAGCGGCTTACCCTGACAGGCCGGGAGCCAAAGTTTGCCGACCCATTTATTGATGTCAATACTGAAGCCTTTTAAAGTTGCAAAGGCTTTGTTTAGTGGACTAGATTGGCTTGAAAGGAATACTAAAAGAGCAGTGCTGCAGATCTGCATGACATTTGACCCATGCATTTCACAAAATGCTACACCTTACAACCCAATCAGAAAAATACAATGAATGATAGTACTATAGCACTGGTGTCAGTCCGCTACTGTATAATTTGATCTCTTCATGCATTTCTACCATTGGACCTCATAAGTCTCGAGCCAATATGAAAATATAACGTGCAGAATCGATGGAATCTCTAATAAAATTGAAATTGGCATGTCTGTGGGGATAACAGGCTATCTACAAGGCTGCTTTGAAATAAACAAAGAACAATAATAATTTGACAGTGATAAAGCATGTGACATTCCTATATAAAGTCCTACAAAATCTATAACTACAATAATAATAATCTATTTTCATACTAGTATTTAAAATGAACAATGGTGAAATCAAAAGAAAAAGGTCTGCTTATCATACAGTGTTCAAACTTAAAGTTGTTGAATATGCAGAAGCAAACAATAATTGCGCCGCTCCTCGTGAATTCTGTATCAATGAGAAGCCAGTAAGAGAATGGCAAAAAAATAAAACAACACTAAAAGACATGCCAAGAAGTAAGAAAAAATGTCCAACCAAGTGCGTTTCATTTCCTGAGCTAGAGAAAGATCTCAATAATTGGGTTGTTGAATGTCGACAAAATGGGTACATTGTCACTAGATCTGGAATTCGTCTGCGTGCTCTGCAAATGTCGAAAGATGACAAATACAAGTCAGTAAAGACATCAATGTTTGTTGCATCAGCGGGTTGGTGCACTCGCTTCATGAACCGTCATGGTCTCTGTCTTCGTCAGCGAACAAAGATAGCGCAAAAGCTGCCGAGATCTGGAAGAAAAAATCAAATCTTTCCAGAGGTTTATTATAAAATATCGAAAGGAATATGCATTTGAACTGTCACAAATAGGAAATATGGACAAAACACCAATGACATTCGATCTCCCGAGCAACAGAACGGTAACTGGTGTTAGTGAAAAAAGAGTTTTAATTAAAACCACTGGCCATGAAAAAATCCATTTTACAGTGGTTTTATCATGTTTGGCAAATGGATCAAAGCTCCCTCCTGTTGTTATTTTTAAAAGAAAAACCTTGCCTAAAAACATGAAATTTCCTGCTGGTGTCATCGTATGTGCACACGAAAAGGGATGGATGGATGAAAGTGGGACTATTGAATGGCTGGGAAAAGTGTGGAATAAGAGACCAGGAGCACTTTTCAAGAAACCTGCTATGCTCATTTGGGACATGTTCAGGGCACACAAGACGGATGAGGTGAAAAATGTGGCCAAAAATATGAAAACTACATTGGCTGTAATACCTGGAGGCTTAACTTCAGTTCTACAACCGCTTGATGTCTGCCAGAACAAACCCTTTAAAGACAGGCTACGCAAAATGTGGTCTGAATGGATGTGCGAAGTTGACAAAAGGCGGCAATCTTAGGAAGCCCGAAATCAATCTGGTTGCCCAGTGGATCAAGTATGCGTGGGTGTCCATTCGCTCGGAAATGATAGAAAAATCATTTAGGAAATGCTGTATCAGCAATGCACTCAACGAGTCAGAAGATGATGCCATATTTGATGATGATGACACAACAGAGGCTGATGATGAGAAGGAATATGAGTCTGAAGACGACACTGCCGACATCTACGATGGCAATGCAGATACAACTGTGACTGAAGCCGAGTTTAATGAACTGTTTGGTGAATCAGAGACTGATTCAGACTTTGAAGGATTTTAAGACTTTTTAAAGTCTCATATTGTTCCAAGTTACTTGTTTTAAATATCCATTTACTGATTTTAAATATTGACTGTAATTTTGAAGGTGAATACATATTTGTTCAGTTATTATTATAACAACAACAGATTTTTTGTTAGATTACATTAAAATAATTCTAGCAAAACTTTTGAGTGTTTCTTGTGATGCCAGCTTTTGAAATATAGCAGGGGTTGGCAAACTTTGGCTCCTAGCCCATTAGGGTAAGCCACTAGCGGGTCGGGACGTTTTGTTTACTTGGAGCGTCTGCAGACACAAAGCCCCTCAGCTCCCAGTGTCCGTGGTTTGCCGTTCCCAGCCAATGGGAGCTGCGGGAAGTGGTGCTTCCCGCAGCTCCCATTGGCTGGGAACGGCTAACTGCGGACACTGGGAGCTGGCGCTTCCCGCAGCTCCCATTGGCTGGGAACAGCAAACCGCAGACACTGGGAGCTGAGGGGCTGCAGACGCTCCAAGTAAACAAAACTTTTAGGCCCGCTAGCGGCTTACCCTAACAGGCCAGGAGCCAAAGTTTGCCAACCCCTGAAATATAGGGTCGGCTTATGAAAGGGTCATACAGTTTTTGCTATTTTTACCTAACCACCTTGGGGGATTGGCTTATAAATGAACGGGCTAATGAACGAGTATATATGGTAGTTCATTTGTAAAATAAAGGTGAAAATGCTGAGTTTAAAGATGAATAGAGACTACATGATTAAAATCATAAGAACAACAAACGTATCAAAAAGATAAAATTTAACAGATTGGTTATATGTGACTCAAGATGGGGCTTAGAATTCAAAGCATCATGTTTCCCACCCACAAGCATTCTCCTTGCATACTACATCTGTAATCAAATTGATTCCTTCCTCCACAAGAAAATTCTGACTGTTTTTGTAAAAAAGGCCAGTAATGTGGTGATTATGATGACTGATTTAAAGAACTACCGCAATTTAGTTTCTATTACAGGGTCTTCAAATTTCCTGAAAACCAGTATCTATGGGGCTGATTCAGCCCATTAAAGACAATGCAAGGGCACCCACTGACTCTAATGGATTCTGGAACTAGCCCTTTCTATATTAAGAAATTTCATAGAAAAGAAGCAGGGTTCAAGCAAGATTTGCAGAACTTAAGTGGAGCTAAACACATTTCCTTAAAAATCAATGTGTGCCCCTCATATATGGTTTGGGGCTTCCTTTCTATCGGTGGTTTTGCAGTACACAGTACATCTCCCTTGTCATTTTTTGAAAAATGAAGGATGAAAATGCTTTTTTCAACTATAGATTTTTCTATTCAGTAGAATTCAGATGTAAAGTATAAAATAAAGGAAAGTAAAATCTTTAAACTTTTTTCAAAACTTCAAGTATTTGCCTCAAACTTTATAAAAAATACAAATATACAAGAGAACATCAATACAACACCTAGGCGGAAGTTCCTTTTTTCTCATCACCTAAAGTATTAAAAAATATAGGCATAGAAAAAACACTTAATAGTCTGTGAACCCAATGCTCAGACACAAACCTTTAACCTTAGAAAAATATTATAGCACATAATTGAGGAATTATCACAGAGTTAGCATCTGAACCAAAATATACATTCATATGTATAATATGCATCAGATTGTACTATGTTACCCATTCATACTTAAGTACATCTTAACAATAAGTAGTCTGGTGTTGTGCAGAAAATATTCATTATCACTGGGCAGTTCCTCTCTTGCCAGCTTACACAGTTGTCCCACCTAAAATGGAAGATTGTAAAGAAAATTTTAATATTCTGGTATGGATGCTTATTCAGATCTATACATCTCTATCCTTTACTACAGCTCCTCCCTGCCCCTACGGAAGGACAGATAACCTTTGTCCTCTCTCACTGCTCCTGCTGTGGGCTCTATAGGATCTCCGATGGCAGAGGCTGCTCAGGGGATGCACTGATGCTATAATCCTACCCCTCTTTTGGGTCTGCCATGCCCTCCTATATAGGCCCCCCCCTTTGCTGCAGGGAAAGTTGTAGCTGCCTTGTACCACTGCAACTTCCACTCCCACCCACCATCACACTTTCTGACACTGAGGACCTAGGAATTTTATCATTTCAATGGTTTACTTCAAATTTGTGGAAAGAGTAGGCATGCTAACTGTTAACAAATATCCCTTGCAAACCTAGAAAACAATGCTAAGATTGGGATTTTCAAAAACAAAATCTGCTCTCACGGAGGTCAATAGTAAAACTCCCATTGACTTCAATGGAAGCCAAGTTAGGCCAGCTGTAAGCACCTTTGAAAATCCCACCTAAATATTTAATTCATTATTACATTTGTAGTTCTTATCGGGCAGCATCTGACTGACTGACCATCACATCCATGAATTTTCAACCTTAATTTCAATTTCATTAAGTTTGTGTCTGGGAATAAAAATATTTTAAATATAAGTTCATATTCAGGACCCTGCACTCTTCAGGGCAGAGATAGTGTCTTCCACTCTGGGAAGCACATAGCATATTGGTTGTGCAATTGCAATACAAAAACTAAAGATCAGGGCCGGCTCCAGGCACCAGGCACCCAAGCTGGTGCTTGGGGCGGCACCTGGAGGGGGGTGGCGGCGCGGCGCTCCGGCCGCCGGGGAGAGCGGGGCCACAGCAGGGCTCGCCGCCCTCCCCCCGGCGCTCTGGCTGCCCTCCCCCCGGCCGCCGGGGGGAGAGCGGCGAGCCCCTGCCGGGGCTCGCCGCCCTGCACTCTGGCCGCTGGGGGGGAGAGCCGAGCCCCAGTCGGGGCTCGCCGCCCTCCTCCCAGGGCTCCGGCCACCCTCCCCCCCGACGCCCTGCCCCCGGCCGCCGGGGGGAGAGCGGCGCCCCCCCGGGGGCGCGCCCCCCCCCGGGGGGGGCGCGGCCCCCCCCCCCCCCCGGGGGGGGGGGGGGGGTGGCCGGAGGCTTTTTCGCCTGGGGCGGGGAAAAAGCCAGAGCCGGCCCTGCTAAAGATGAACAATGAAGCTGCAATTACTACTCAAAACATTATAGGTCTTGCAACTATTTGAGTGGAGTAAATTGAATTCTTTAAACCAGGTGCACTATATTTTATTATCCAAACTCAGAGACTGAAACAGATATATATAGGTCACTTATTCCCTCCATGTCCATCCACCTACATACACTACACACATTTTCAGCTAATGTTTTCTGTGGTACAAAAACAACAGCACCAAAGTATATAACGTGCAAAAAGAATGTACAAGATGGTTTTAATTTATATTACAAGAAATAAGAAAGTGCTGTTTCAATCAGGATCTGTCACAGTTCCAAAAAGAGAACAAAAAAGCTAGTGTAATTCTTACCATTAGCTTTAAAACAGAGTTGCTTCTTCTTGTAAGCTGTGTAACCAGCTACTGTTCCAACAACTAACAGCACAAGCACAGAAATCACAGGTGACGTAACTCCAGCAATTACTCCAGAATCTATTGGAAGAAAAAACGTATTTTCTTCAGAAGCAACAAAAAAGCATCCTTATTATAGAGTACATAAAGTGGACACTGACCCATAATAGCAAATCATTGCAAACACAATTTGATATGAGAAAGGGTTCATACAACTTTTGAATTTCATTTGCAGCATGAAATAAAACATTTTTAAAAATATATATAAGGACCAGAAACCATAATATTACTACAGACAAGAAAATAGTGACTTATTTATTTCACAATAGTGAAAACTACACATATGTTTTATGTGGGTTTTAAAACTCTTTTGGTTCAGCTAAGACTGTCCTAAATATACTATAAGATAATATGTATATATGTGTTTACTGACCAGTGTTTCCACCATGATTGACATTACTCTCCTTTTCTCCTGGAAAAGAGGAAATAACTTCATTGTTGGAAGAAACCTTTTGGAGAAAAGTCACAGCTAACACACAGCAAAACAACAACAAATCCCATGCAGAGACAGCCTGCAAAATGATATTTGGTTAGAACTGGGGAATGGGAGTAAGGAAATGTGGGTTCTAATCCTGACTTCAACCTTAACTTTTTGGAGGCACATTGTGTCACTTCTCTGTCTTAATTTCCTCAGAATGATAATACTAATCACCCCCACCCAATAAAATGGGGCTGAAACTGCTTACCCACCTTCATAAAAAATGTAGTAAATTTCAAATAAAAGACAGCTGCCAGCATGGGGAGTAAGACAGGGGAGTAGCCAGAGCACTGCAACACTCTGGCTAGTCTCCACTGACAGACAACCACCCGGGGAGCCATTGGCTAACTCACTATCGGTCCAATGCTTCCACCTTTACACACTCTGAATAGCCCCTTAATCTGTAAGTAGTCCCACTGAATTCAACCAGACTATGGGCCCAATCCTGCAAGGTGCAGAAGACCCTTTCCAACCCAGCAAAGCACGTAAGCACAGGGTGGATAAAAATCAATGATTTAAAAAAAAAATTAAAAAATCGGATTTTTTTTATTCAAATGGAATTTTTGATAAAATGTTTTTGAGGAAAAAACCTATCTAAAGATAGTTTTAATTAAGATACGTTATAGCTCAAAGGTATCTCATCATGGAATAGGGATTATAAATTCTAATTCTATAGTATGAGACAATATATTCATGTAATGTTTAAGAAAAGTTTTGTAAATGAGTTCCAATAGTTCATGGATTAGGGACCCAATCTTATCGGTTCCACAGGCTTCTGTATAGATTATTTAGGTTAATCTTTCTATCTACTCAATGGCACTCAGTGCTCATTCTAGAAGCTTAGAGATGCTTAGTTTTGCAGTTCTCAAACTGTGGATTTGTGTCTCCAGAGGTAACATGCTTGTTAACAGCAAAAATGTTTTTAAATAAATAAATAATATATGGCAGTGAGAAATAATAGACCTCAACTCTATTTTCCCTCTGCAAATTTGTGTACACAGAGTCAATCCCTTACCTCTCTCTAAAAGTGCAAAGTTTCAAAAAGTTCAATGAATAGAAGATTGTTGGGGGTGGAATAGAGCTGGACAAGGAGAAGAAGTCTGGAGATAAATGTGAGAAGCGAGGGACATACACTTGTTTTGTTAAAATATTATATGTTTGTGGTTGAAGAAAAAAATCCAGAATACTTAACATTGTTGTTTTAGTTAAATAAAACAATTTAAATGTCTATCTGGTGATGTTCTCCTCCTAATACAACATGGCAAGAAAATCCTCCAAATATTAATGATTAACCTGTTGCATTGGAGATACTTCACTTCCCAATGACTTCATAAATATTTGCTTCAATTACCTTCAGTAAATTAAATAACCAATCATTCATTTTCTGATATAGCTGTAAAACTAATCTGAAAAGTTTTCAAAATAAATCACCTGTTTAAAAATGTATAGTGTGTACCTTCTAAAAATGTAACCTACATCTATCTCTGAGTTGTGAAGAATATGTATTAGGATTATAACAACCAACAAGAATGCACTTTTATGTAGAAAACCATGATTAAATCGAGTCTTCCTGACTAATGATTTAAATCAAATCCACCCTGCTTAAGCATGTTCTTAAAGTGATTTATCTCTTCAGGACTGACCACTCGACATCTTTTAGCACTATTTGTGGAGCAAGAGATTGCTCAATATGTGTAAGAGTAGGAGAATCTGGCCCTATACCAGCTACATGCAAGTCTAAAGCAAAAACAGGCAGCTATGGGATATGACTATATGAGAGAGGTTGTGAAATATTCAACAGAATTGGCATACAGTACCTGCGGGCCTTGGGGGTAGAGGTTTCCCATCATTGAGATCTAAGTCACTGAAGCGGTCTGTAAAATTAGCGTGTTATTCATTATTCAAACTTATCTGAAATTTCAGCTTTTCCCCCTCCCTTCCACTACCATGACCTGCTTATTCTTGGTGTCCTAGGAGAGGATCATTCCCCCAGGATCCTTAAGTGGAGGCAGACCCTTTTGGGCATAGAGCCCACTTTCTGTCTTTCACCTCAAGGTCAACCATTAGAATCTATTTGAAGGCTAGAATTCCAGTCATGTCAATAGAAAATTTTTGGTTCCTATCCATTCCCAGGATAGGTGCAGCTAAATTTGTCAACAGGAGTGGAAGGGAAAACAAGATGATTATCAACATGATTTTAGGTCCAATATCTTGTAAATTGTTCAGGCTAGATATACTTTGTTGGACAGACACTAAGACCCAGTAACCTTTTTCAAAAAGTGGACCTGGAACGTTGAACAAACAAACAAGCAAACAAGCACATAGCAAACCAAAAGTTCCCTACAGTGGTTAATAAATAAGTGCCCCATCAGAGTATTGTGATTAATGTATCAAACTTCTGGGAAGCTGCAAAGAACGAGCGCAATAAAATCCTGCAAGCATAAGCAAAATCTAGCTAGGAAGCTTTATAGACTAAGATTAAGCAAAAAAGGAAGCTCTGTGAAATTAGATACGGACTTGTAGTTACTATGCACTGCAACCGGATACTTCTTTAGGCTGACTCAAAATTTGAGTCTAGCAAATTGACCACAATTAGGACAACTAGCCACATAAAGAAAAGATGAGCTGGGCACAGATGCACAGTTCATAAGATCAAAACAACCGCAAAATACCACACTAAGACATTTGGCCACCTTAATTGGTTGACCTGCTTTGGAACACAGCCAAAAAATAATGTATAAAGAGGTGCAAAGGCGCAGGTATCTGTCTGTGTGTGTATTGACCTAAAAGAGATCTCTCTTTGATCAGGCTCACACACACACCCTGAACCGAAGGGACATGTGCTTCACCGACTATCTGTGCCTGGCCAGTGCGGAGAGCGGTCGACTGAAGGGTAACGTATTCTCGGGAAAATGCAGGGTAAGGTTTTGAAGCAAAGAAGTCTGGTTGCGCTTGGCCTGGTTAATCTTAAGTCTGTATCGATACTATAGTTTAATTATACTAGTATATTGTTTAGAAGTAAAAGTAAGTTGGGTAATAGTAGTAGTAAATCGCTTAGGAATAGTAGTAGTAAATAGTTACTCAATATATAATAACTGTATAGGTTCTGGTGCCTTGCTGGGAACGGGCACACCACGGGTAGAGCTAGTAGTTGATAAGTGATAGTAGCTTTGCATGTCACTGTGCCTGTCTTCAGTATAACCTGCCATTTATATTAATCCTAATTCAGTGCTGGTCTTTAATTATTCTCTTCTTATTCTGTCTATGTTGCTTTTATAGTCGTAAATCATTAAAAGCCTTCTTTGAGGAATAATTAGTTGTTTTAATTTCTCTTTTGCGGACACTACTCAACCTCATTACATCTGTGTTGGGTGGTGGGAAGTAGTGATCACCCAGGGTACAATAAGGGCCCTGATTCATGTCTCCCCCTTCCATAATCTCCACAAGTATACCATCCATAAATAAATGAATAAAAATCTGAATCAATATAAATAAAAATCTGACCTAAATAATTTTTGGTTCTAACATTCTTAGGAGAAAATATTCTTAACAGAATTGCTATACCTTCCTGGTTGCGGGTGAGCAGGTAGATATGGCTGAGGTTTTGGGTGGTCGTCTATTGATAATAAATATTGTTAGAAGGAAGGAAGGCCACAGTTTCAAAAGTGCATACAAAAGTAAACAAGAAGTGTAAAACTTCGGGATTTTTATAGTCCATTGCTGATTTTTCCTCTAATAGATTCAGAAAAGGTCCTCCTCGTTAGTTAAAACAGTCGCAAGAAGGCCCAAACATCCTGAGCCTGATTTTCTTGGCACCAGAGAATTCCTGCTGACTACAAAATGTTAGTCAAAAAATTTCAATCTTCAGTGAAAATAAGAAAAAAAACCCACCACAATTTTTGAGAAAAATATTTTGCGTTTTTTAGCCAGCTCCACTATTATGAACATATCAGATACTGACATCAGGGAAGGATTGTGGGATATTATGGGTATCATGCAGGAACCAGAGACCAAAATGTGGATGGAAAATTGGCTGAAGGAACCAAAAGTAAAGAAAAATAATAAACTGTATTGGATTGAATTGGGTATTCTATTTATCTAAAAGAGATATTAAGGCAACACATTAATTAAATTAACCAATAATAATAATAATTTGAAGGAGCTTCAAACACCAGTATGAGCAAAAAATAATAATAAAGAAGGGCCTAAAATGATTAAATAAAATAAGTATGGGGGGGACGGGACAAAACTAGATTCAATTTTGAAAAATATAGACTAACATCTGAGGAAACAGGTATCAAATGGAAGAAAGAAACCTGGAAATGCTAAAAGATGTAGGGATGAGAGAGGATAGTATATCATGCCTGGTTTTGAAATGTGTGTTATACGACAGTAAAACAAGCCATTGCAATTTTTTGGCCTACAAATGCAAAGGCATAGTATAACAGAACCGGGAACTAATAATCCCTCCGTACAGCCCTGATTCAACAACATGTTTAAGCACGTGTGTAATTATAAGCATGAGACTAGTCCCCATTTATTTGGGACTACTCTTATGCTTGAAGTTACAAATGTGCTTAAGTACCTTGCTGAACTGGGACCTATGAGATCACAGCTGGATTAACTGCACACAGCTCCAGGCTCCTCACTTCTAGGAAGACGTAAACAAACTGAATACAGCTACAGATATAACAAGAGGAATTAAGGGGCTGATTTATGAGAAAAGAATAAGAGTTTGGCTAAGAGATGACTAAATGGGCAAATATTTATAAACATGTAAAGATATGGACTAATATTTTAAAATGTGCCTATGATTTACAATCCTAAATCCTGTTTTCAAAAGCAATTAGGTGCTTAGGAGTCTAAACACCTGTATCACTTTAGAAAATGGGACCTTAGGTACTTCTGATAATTTCACCCATGGTTATTTGTGTTTTCAATCTCTAATTTCTAGTAGTCTAACCATCTTAAATATGATGCTGGGGGAATTATTTTCTGAAATGTGAAAGCATGATAAAAAGCAGTCTAACATACTACAAAACTTTTAGGGAATACCACCACCAGGGGCATCTCTTAAATAAAGGTCTTTATCTAAAAGAAGACAAAGAAGAGAGTAAACAGAAGGCACTTTGGAGAAGGAGTGAAATGTTAGTTTTAAATAGGAAATGTAAAGCAATTGTTTAAGAAGAGTGGAAATATGTTGGGGCAGGTCATCTGCAAGTGCTTTAGCAACTCACAGAAGATGACTCAGTATTTTGAGAATTTTACCTCCACTGCATTACATGGAAAGAAGGATTATTGCTCACATCATTCTCCAATGCCTTGCTAGCAAAATTTCAAGACAGCTCTGTGTGCTGGGGATATATGGATGAGCTGCATTTCAGTTTACAGTTCCAAAGTTTTCTTCACAACCATGAAGGCTCAAAGCATTGTATCTTTTAAAATAAAAGTTTAGATTCCAGACTAGCCATTCAATCTCCAAAATATTTCTCATCAAGCATGACGATGGAGAAAGTAACAGTGACGAAGAATAAGGGGAAAGAACATTTTTTAAAAGCTGTGGTGTTTTAGTTAGGAACAAAAAGGTGAGACATACTGGGACACATGTTTTAAATAGTTAATTTTAAATTAATTTTAACTCAAAGTAATTCACAAATTTACGTGAAGATTCTTATAAAATTTTGTCTTTACCCAGAATTTATGAGCTGTAAATTTGGGACGCTACACCAAATTCTGTATAAAACAACGAAGAGGTTGAATCTGTGCTGTAAATAAAAAACTCAGTGAAATGTGGTGTCCAGACCAGCATATCTATAATAGATACACAAGCTATATTTTATATGTCGAAAAATAAATTTTAAAATCAGAAATAAACATATTGATCCCAGAAGCATCTAATAAAAATAAATATTTTCATTATCATAGCACAATGTCCAACAAAAAATGCAAACCAAAATTAACCAGATGCAGCAACCAATGAACAAAAATATTCTTACCACCATCATTGCCATAGCTTCCCGGCTGCGGCTTGTGAGGAGGACGTGGGTGAGGTTTTGGATGATCATCTATTAGCAATAAAGATTTCAAGATTTTAATAACCTTTACCTTTTGGTCAAACACTGGACACCTTTGTTCTCAGCCCAGGAGCACATTTTTAGAATGTTTGAGCAAAAACTGTTCAGCTACTTTGAGTAGGAATATAGTGCTTGTGTGTGTGTGGGGGAGGGCACATTTAATCAGAGGACAGAGTCCCCAAGTAGCTCATATGCCTTTCTGGGATCTGGTGAACATCAGTTTTGCTTTGGACAAGTTGTAAAGATTTTAAAACATGGTTCATGCCTGTGCATTGTTTTTTGTTATACTAATGATCTGCCAACATTCCATTGGTGCTGCACATGTGTGCACGCGAGTTGAGTGGAATTTTCCATTCAGTAGACAATCTCTCAACTTCTATTGCAGTTACACATGCACAGAAATGTTGAGTGGAATTTCATTTAGAGTGTGCAGATGTGTGTGAAATATGATCTTTGAGGGTGAGTATGGAATGAGGCGGAGCTCTAAAAGGACAGTGACTCCTTCTGAATAATATGTAGAGATACATAAGGAGGGGCTCCTTAATCTAGAAGAACCCCACCCCTTTCACTAAAGATGTAGTGTAATGAAGCAGGGAAAGTGGGAGAGTACATCTATCTAGATTTTTATGAGTAAATGAGGCAGCGGTCCTGCTCCATGCACTATATATTATTTGTTCAGTGTATGGTGTAAGAGACAGAGGTAAGAAAGGACTTTTGGCCTCATGCAATGTGGGGGCTGGGGCACTGCAATGTATAAAACATGAAGCCATGCACTGCATAGTGACAGTACAAATATTTAACAACTGCCACATACATAGAACAATGTCCAACTTGTGCACTGAATGAGACAGGATTCCTGAGGGGGAAAAAACTGTGATTGTGTAGTGAAAGACTCTACCATAATGCATAGTCACAAGGGAGCTAAATTAAGATTGCATGGCAACCTTATCCATTTCCTGATTCCTGAATGCTTCATTTTAGAACTTTAATTTTCTTTCAGTGTAGTATGTGGAATATCATAATCAAATAAAAAGTATTTTTAAACGGAGAGAATGAGAAAAAAAGATTTACCCTTTTAAAATTAGTTTGTCACATCCAATCTCCTCCAGAGTTTATGGCTTTAAAACTTTCTAGTCCTCCTTTACCATTCACAGCTCATTTCTGTTCATTGGCATAGCCTGTTGTAGAACTATTAAAAGCCACGCTAACAATGAATGCCAGAAGAGGGGGTCCATCAAATTTTAAAAAGTCCCACGCATATAAGACTTTAGTCTCCAACATTTTTTAAAAGTCATTTGTTGTGGACTTGTCTTTTCCCCTGCACAAATGTTTAGTAAGGCAAATACAAAAGCTACAGTTGTCTATTTGTATGTTCCTTTGGGATTTCAGGGCAAGTAAGAGATTACCAAAAATTATCAGCCAATACAATTTCAGTGTTGTCCAGTCACTGTCTAAAGCCATATTATACTCATTAAGGGACTCTTATTATTTGGTAAATGTCCAAGAGAGTTCCTTTAATACTTTTTTTTAACCTATACAGTACTTGATGCTTAGACAGTTATCGCACAACCTTGATCTCAGATGCTGCACATGGCACACATCACGATGAATCTGGTAGAAACTACAAATGTGAGATCATTGTCATGAACCATTAGCCAATTTAAATTTATTACTCACCAAACACTGGCCTTTTGGTAGCCGGTGGAGGCTTCTTGGTAATTGTTTCCTCTATGAGACACAGTGAGACCATAAAATCAATACAAACTGAAACACTTTTCAATACATCAAAGGGAGGCATCTGTAAATCTTGATAAATATTCTAGATAAAGAAAACTTAAGCATCACTGAGACCACAAATTAAGTGCTAAGGTCTTATGGCCAAGATTCTTTTAAAATAGAACCTGAATATAAGCAAATTTTTAGAAGTAGTCTGATTATCAAAAGTGCTATATCCAGCATTTCCCATTGACTTTTATGCATTTCCTTTAAATTAAATTAGTTATGTTGTGGTCCAGTTTTCATAAAATGGAAAATGTATTAAAGATGTAGCAATAATATTAAACACAATAGAGCAAATAAAACCCCTTTTTTTTTTTTTTCAGTGTTACTTACCTGGATGATCAAGAGCATCCGATAAATCAAAATCACCTTGACCTACGAAAAGAAACCACACATTAATGTCTGTGTGTAGGAACATTTTATACCTATTTCAGTTAGTGTGGTGTTCATTTTTATGGGTGTGAATCACCGCCAGAGCTCTGCTGGCAAGGCATAGGATGCAGGCACCTAGTGGTGGAAAGTCCAATAAAGGGGTGCATGCCAGAGGAAGCTGTTCATGAGCCCTGCTCTGCCAGGGGCGCCTTTGTGTGATCACACAAACCAGCCCATTCAATTCAAAAGGGAAACTCACTCCAATAGAACAGGAAGGATTTGGCCCATAATCAAAATGTAAAAATTCCTTTGAAGAGCATGCTTTGGCAAGTACAGCAGCCAGAAACCCATGGTGTGTCCAAAGAAACAGAAACAAGATTTTGCACAGTACTTTCAAACTGTTTGCTCAGAGTGGCACTCTGTCTCCCCCCAGTGGTGGCTAGGCCAGCTAATGATTGATGAGCCTGCTTGGTTAAATGAGATGTGTCTTTTTGCTCCTGGAGTAGAGGCTCATGCATTAAGCTCCAGAGGTCCCAGGTTTGATCGCCCCGGCCAACAACCCTGGGTGAATCGGTGTCACCAGTGGCATGTTATACCACAACCAGGAAAAGTGATTTTAATAAATTCATTAGTGTTTTAACAGCTCAACTTTACAGATCTGGTTAAAAGTTTTACTGACACACCTGCCTTAAAATCACTTGTAAATTAAATCTGCACAGTTTAACTTCTTCCTCTGACATATGGCAGCATTTACAACTGTCAAAGTGTCTTTGTTATCTACACCCATTTGCTCTCCACTGCACCCTGAAACATCTGAAAGAAAAACAACATCTTCCTGCTCTGTTTTAGGTGTTAGTGATGTCATTAATTGTTACAAGAGAAAAAACACCATCCTGACATGAGGACTTGGCAGGAAAATAAAGCTGGGAAAGATTTAAAATATTGTATCCTAACAGCTTGTAACTGAGTCTACTGATCTGTTACTGATTTGGGATTTCCTTTTTGTTGTTGTGGTTGGCATTTTTTGCTTTAACTGAAAAGCTTTTGTAGATCACCTCTTTATGAAATAAGCAGCCATTGACTTTCATGCAGAATGCAGCACTATTTGTCTTCATCCACTCCTTAATATCTGTTTAGACCAAACACAAGAACAGCTGGCACAAAGTGAAAAAAAAGAGTTTCTGGGAGTCAAAGTCATGGCTTTTATTCCCAGCTCTGCCACTGACTTTGTGTGTGACCTCAGGCAAGTCACTTGATCTGTGTCTGTTTATCAGTCTGTATAAAGGGGATAATAATGCCTAGATCTTATATAGCACTTTTCATCAGTAGGCCCCAAATGCTTTACTTAGGGAGTATCATTATCCCCCTTTTACAGATGGAGAAATTGAGGCACAGTGAGGGAAATAATTTTTCCAAGGTCACCCCACAAACCAATGGCAGAGTCACGAATAGGCAACACTGCCTCCTATAATAGTAGAGTGGCACTTCTGTAACTCACAAAGCTCTTAGAAGGCTTAATAAACGTTAGTAAAATACTGAGATCCTCAAATGAGAGGGATCACAATGTATACGTTTAAAACATTTTTATTCTTGTATTATTAATTGAAGTGCATGTTTCGAGGACTTAATTATATAGCCACACACTCTGACAGGAATGATAATATATGGTTGGAATTCCAAAGAATGAGCTATAAAACAAGACTACCCTTGTCCAACAGTATGTTGTTTCTGAAAACCTATACTACAAAGGGGAAAGTAGGTCACAAAACCAGACCATCCAGTTAACATAACTTGAGTAATATTTTCTCTTATTTAACTGACTGAATATTTTAGAACATTACACACCATCCAGCTATTACCTCCCCTGCCATAGGGACTGATCTAATCCTGATTGAAATCAGTGGGCTCTTAGATTTCTAGTCCTAAGCAATAAGACCTAAGGTTTTTCAGTGATGGGCTGCCAATATTTTAACAAAGGTCTCACACAAAAATATTCCCCTTAGTCTGCAATTACCATGACGGTTTATGATGGCAAGGAGGAGGTGTGAGAGCATGGGGAATCTGTTTGTTTCATTAACCATAATAAAAGCAGGGGTTACCCCATACATACACATACACTTAAGCATAGTGTAAACTGGTAGCATTCTCCTCTTCTTGCTCCTAACACAATATATAGAAACTGGTTCTGGTCCAAACATCCCCTTCCTGGAGTTTTTCTTTATTGTAAACTTTAACAGCAGTAGCAGCAAAACATAAACCTAAGCTGGATTGTCTTTAGGGTTTTTGCTTGTATAAACCTTCTGTTTTGATACCTAGTTTTTATTGTCTCTGAGAGATGCTGAAAAGCCTCAATCACAAAAGTATTTAGGTTCCTAAATTTTGGGTTTAGGTGCCTAAATCCCTATTTTAGGCTCTACTGCAGTCCACACAACTCCTGCCAAACGCTGTTTTATACTACATTTTATACTTGCATTTCATACTTGCAGATATTAATCTTCTAGGTAGGCAACTGGGAAATTAGGGCCAAATTCTACCTTCAGTAATATCCAGACAGCTCCACTAACCCCACTGGCTTCACTTATGGAAGCCTAATGCTATAGATTTGTACTTAGTATGCTTGCTCTGTCATAGAAATTGCGGTGATTTTTCTTAAAAGCTTCCATACATATTTTTGTTGTGAAAGTCTGTACTGATTTTTTCCCTCTGACTTTGACGTTGCACCTATTTAACTATATTCTCAGGCCTGGTCTACACTAGGCGTTTATGTCGAATTTAGCACCATTAAATCGAATTAACCCTGCACCCGTCCACACCACGAGGCTATTTAGTTCGACATAGAGGGCTCTTAAATTCGACTTCTGTACTCCTCCCCAACGAGGGGAGTAGCGCTAAATTCGACGTGGCCATATCGAATTAGGCTTGGTGTGGATGGAAATCGACGGTAATAGCTCCGGGAGCTATCCCACAGTGCACCACTCTGTTGACGCTCTGGACAGCAGTCCGAGCTCGGATGCTCTGACCAGCCACACAGGAAAAGCCCCGGGAAAATTTGAATTCCTTTTCCTGTCTGGGCAGTTTGAATCTCATTTCCTGCGTGGCGAGCTCAGCAGCACTGGCAACGATGCAGAGCTCTCCAGCCGAGATTGCCATGCAATCCCAGAATAGAAAGAGGGCCCCAGCATGGACTGATCGGGAAGTCTTGGATCTCATCACTGTGTGGGGCGATGAGTCCGTGCTTTCCGAGCTGTGCTCCAAAAGACGGAACGCAAAGATCTATGAGAAGATCTCTAAAGCCATGGCAGAGAGAGGATACAGCCGGGATGCAACGCAGTGCCGCGTGAAAATCAAGGAGCTGAGACAAGGCTACCAGAAGACCAAAGAGGCAAACGGACGCTCCGGATCCCAGCCCCACAGATCCCGTTTCTACGAGGCACTGCATTCCATCCTTGGTGCGGCCGCCACCACTACCCCACCACTGACCGTGGACTCTGAGGATGGGATATTGTCCACGGCCGGTTCCTCGGACATGTTAGCGGACGGGGAAGATGAGGAAGGAGATGAGGAGGACGAGGCAGTCGGCAGCGCTTACCAAGCTGATTTCCCCGACAGCCAGGAGCTCTTCATCACCCTTACAGAGATCCCCTACCAACCCTCCCCAGCATGTAACCCGGACACAGATTCAGGGGAAGGATCAAGCGGTAAGTGCTTTAAACATATAAACCTTTATTTTTTACAAAACTTGAATATTAAGACTAATAACAATCTGTGATTCATGATTTCTTCCCCCTGGGCGCTTAAATAATCAGTAACAACTATTTATAAAAAAATCAAACAGTGTCCGGTTGTGCATGATTGTGCTGCCCAAGCTGCTCCACTCTTTTGTCCCTGCTACTGCAGCTAGATAAAAATCCGGTCAATATGTCCGGGAATAGAGCAGTAGTCCTCCACGGACATCTCCACAAAGCTCTCCTGCAAGTAATGGGATAGCCTGTTCATCAGGTTCCTGGGGAGAGCGGCTTTACTTGGTCCTCCGAAGTACGAGACGTTCCCGCGCCAGGAGACAAGCAGGTACTCTGGTATCAGTGCCTTGCATAGCATGGCGGCATAGGGCCCCGGTCTCTGCAGGCTTTCTCGAAGCATCCTTTGGATCTCGGTGTCCGGGATCCTCATCAGAGTTATGTCGCTCATGACAACCTGCTTTGAATTAGGTAGGGGACTGTTAGTATTGGGACTGCTTGCAACAAGTTCCTTTACAGAACTGTGACCGCTGGTTTACAGCCACGCGGTGGGGGCGGGAGAGGGCCAGCATCCAGGGATGTTTCCCTGGCACATCCGCGAGGGGGTGGGACAGGGCCAGAGTTCCTGCTTGGCCAATTGCTGGCAGCACAGACTGGCAGTGCTTTCAATGTGAAAGGTGGCCAGTGGTACTCCTAAAGTTTTAATCTGCCACAAGTCTACGGCTTACCATGTTTGCCTGCTACAGAGAGTACCGTGTCCTGCCCCGGTTCCCAGATCGGCAGTGCAAAAGCCCAGGCACTGAAGGCGAGGTTCGAAAATTCGACCTTGTCCTCAGTGCGCATGTGATAGCTGTGGTTCATGGTCTTGTTCACAGAGAACGACTATGTTCTTGATTCACAACTACATTTCTCTTTCGGAGGAATTCACTGCCTTTTCCTCATTCCCACAGCCACATCTGCAACTGTCTCCCAACCCAGCCTGGCATCACACTCCCAGAGGCTAGCGCACATTAGGCGGAGGAAGAAGAAGACGCGAGAGGACATGTTCTCCGAACTTATGGGCTGCTCCCGAGCCCAGGCAGCACAGCATAACCAGTGGAGGGAGAATTTGTCCCAAATGCACCGGACACACATGGAACGTGAGGAGAGGTGGCGGCAGGAAGACCAGCAGGCGACTCAAACGCTGCTTGGACTTCTGAGGGAGCAAACGGACACGCTCCGGCGCCTTGTTGATGTTCTGCAGGAACGGAGGCAGGAGGACAGAGC